TTGGGAGTTATGTTTTCACCTAAGACGTGGAAAGCTGTAAGACGTTACTCCCATTCTAACAAGAGAAAGCCATAACTTACACTGATCAGAGAAAATAGTCAAAGGAACTGAATTCCAAAGAGCAATAAGCCCCTTGAAAGTGAAACAGGATACATGAACAGTTTCACCTTTGTCAGAGAATAAGAGGCTGCCACTAAAGCAAAGTAAGGTTAATTATCAAGAATTTAGAACACTCTAAGTGTTTACCCTACTTGCACGTTAGTAAATGAGCTTGCCACAGACTTCTGAATCAGAGATAAAGGACTTTATTACACCAATAGCATTAATCAAAGTGTCAGCATTCTTGCTGGTTCCCTGATCCCCAATCCAGACAGTTCACTAAGAAGAGGACCAGATGACATCTGTGTACATAGTGGTTTGCATAATAGAAGGATCCATGAGCTTAGGGAGCCCAAATATTTGATAATGGGTATTTATCCCTTTGCTCTGTTGGGACATTACTATACTCTACAGTAATCAAACCTTTCTTGTAGAGGGAGATGATATCTGTCTTTCCAGGTTGTTTGTTATATAAATCTTGAAAGGTAGTCCAGAACAAAGAGACAGGCAGTGCCTCTACTTCCAAATCATGCAGAAACATGAAAGACTCATGGAAAATTGTTTCCTGACAGAAATCACTAAGATGTTAAGGAATTCTTTAAAGGCCAACTGTGTAATAGATATTAGTTTAGAATAAGCGAGATCCCCTGACAACAGTAGTTCACTCGGGAGCTCCTTTCCACAAGCCTCCACTTGGTGGCAATGAGAAAGATTGGGGCAGGAGACTTGTGAGAAGTGACACTGGGTGACAGACATGCAGGTGAGGGTTGATGCAATGGCACTGAGTGGCAGGCATGAGACACTGTCCACTTCCTCAGACCTTTACCTTGTATGAAGTAGAAGCCATTAGCCACTGGAGGAGAGCTGGCAAACCTTCTGCCCTAATAGTCCAGGCAAAGATCCACTGCTTTTGGAGGAAATGCAGAAGTAAAATCCTTTTGCCCTTGGGAAAGGCCGATTTCGTGGGCCCAAGATCCTTCACCGACACCAAACAGAGATCCACGCTCACTTGGGAGAAGTGTAGGAAAATCTCTCCTGTTCAAGAACTCCCCAAACTGAGTACACAATTACAAATTGCAAGAATACAATTAAATATATGTAGAGAGTAGTGATAGAGAACAATTATGAGCAATGTATTGGGACACAAGTTTTTAAAAGGATATTCTGGTCGCCATAAGGTGTAGCTATGGAGATGAAGGGAAGAGGATGGATTTGAGCCGTATTTTGGAGGTTTGACCTATAGACCTTGCTGATAGATTAGATTTAGGTTTGGAGGGAAAGAGAGGAATTACAAATGACTCTTAAGTTTCTGACATTAGTAACTGAAAGAATGTGGTATCGTTTACTGAAATGGGGGAGGTGGGATGGTCTTGGGAGTGGACAGAAAATCAAAAGTTCTATTTTGTCCATGTTAAGATTGAAAAACCTATTTGATTTCAAGTAGAGATTTCAAGTTGACAGATACTTTAAAACGGAGCTCAGGGGAGAG